TGCGTGTGCGTGTGCGTGTGTGTTTGTGTGTGCTGTATGATAAACTGGGCGCTGATGTGAGTGACTGTAATTCCATTAGCAGCTCTTTATTCTCTAGGAAAAAAAACTCAGCAGCTTGTGGAAATATGATTCTGACTCAAGGGGAGAGGGAGGAGAAAGGAAGGATGAAGGGGTGGAACAAGAAAAGGAAAGAGGATGAAGAAGACAAGATGCAGGAGGGAGGTGGATATACAGTAAGAGGAGGGAGAGGGATGGTTGGAGGATGGAGAGACAAACAGAGAAGATGAAAAAGGGGGAACTAATACAGAAAAAGAAAAGAAGAGGAAACTGTAGGAAGAGATTAAAATCTTGATGGAGCAGAAAAAAGAGGGAAAGAGAGAAGATGCGAAAAATGGGTGGAGGGCTTAATCCAATAATTTATCTATCCATCATAGGACTTTACAGCAAAAAGTATTTAAGTATTTCACACTAATTCACTCTTATAGTATTACTGTCAATGCAGTCAATGGTGGTACTGCAGACAAAGGCTTCCACAGTACTACTGTCAATCACTGGCTGGTACAATACTACAGTCAAGGATTATAGCTCTACTTCAGTTGGTGTTATTAGTGCAATATTAATTATATTGCCCTAATACCCTTGTACAATCCAGTAATGCTACGCTTACATTAATGTTCTTAAAGCAGCTAGTTGAGGGGTTTGCCATATCATATCACAATAATATCAGTATATTATTTAGTATGATAAGAAACTAAATCATATAATGCAAATATTCCCACTTGTTGACATAATGATGTCATACATACATACACAGAGCAACAATGAATAAAAGTCACATTCACGTTCCTAAGAGGGGAACAACTTAAGTGCAACAAGAATAACAACAAAAGGAGGCAATACAACAAATTTATTTCATCACCTCAAGCAGAAACACCCAGTTGAGTATTAGAGGAGCAAGCCTCCAGAGAGGAGAGCTCAACAGCTATGGCGAGTAACTAAAAAGATTTAGCAGTATTATGTCATATCGTCAAGAATATAATTATCGCAGAAATACTATGAAATATCAAGTACAAAAAACTCCTTCTGTAATGAGTTTTGCAGTTTTTCCATACACACACAGTTGTGTAGTATGGTACATTTTATGCAAAGTATCCCTTATACATTGATTTCACATAATTTGTGGCTTTATGTTTTCTTTGCACTTATATTTGGTTTTAATTTGTACAATTTGCCCCTTTTCTCAGCAGACACTGTAACATGATAGTAGGAAAAGTGATATTAATAGTATTAAGAACTGGGTTTTTACATGATGAGTTGAGTAGATGCATACAATGAGTTTTGCCAATAAGAGTTGGGTGTTTATGTATAAAAGAATGAGTGATAGGCTTTTTTCACGGCAGATATTTTAAGTGAGAAAAGCACAGGTGTTATTAATGTGTCTCAGTGAGCCATAACAGTGAGCCAGCCAGGACCCTGAAACTAAAGCAGCTACATGGAATTCAGCCATCATTCCTTATATAATTTTCAACTGTGCTTTGTCTTCTGTGAAAAAGGCTCTAACTAAAGACTTTTCAAGGCCCTCCACACAGATGATTTTAATAATTCTGGCTGATTCTACCTCTTCTCAGGATTGTATATGTGTGCAAAAGAGATTGACATCTCCTATTAACTCTGTTGCACCTGTTAGGGTGGGACAACTTAAACCATCATCATTCGAATTAAATAGACCACAGGTTCAGCCAGAAAGCACCTGAATGTGTGTGCATACTTTAAAGTATGTGCTACTCTATACAATGTATCTGCAATATACACATACATTATTATATTATTATTTAACAATACATTAAAACAGAGTTTTCTATTAAATACATTTGACAGTCCATGTACTGTAAAAATGAATTCTAACTGAACT